TATTGGGAAAAATCCTTCTATTAATCTTGATAATAGCTGGGGTGTGCTTGAGACAATGGCTCCACTCTGTAAAAAGTACCAAGTAGGATGGACGACCGAGTCGTCTGAGGGGAACTTTGCAAGGGGCCCGCACGAAAATCTCGCATACTCGAGGAGATATGATGGTAATTACGGAAAAAGAACAAGGAAAGTAGAGATTAGGGATATAGGATACGTAAATACTTGCAATGGGTGTACGTGGAATCTTAATACTTAACCATTACTTTTTGTTGATGTGTCACACCAAATGTATTGGATCATATTTATACTGACAAATCTAGAAAAATCGGATTCACCCGAGTACAATAAATCTTATCACGTATGATTGATACATTTTTTTAATTTATGAAACAAGATCCGAAATAATATTGGCACGTTATTTTTCCTGATTCTCCCACTGATAACTTAATATAGTTGTCAATATTTACTTGACAGCAGTCTATGAGAACTATTTCTTTTGAGAAAATGCGATATTGACACGGTAAAATCAGCTTGTTTTTAAAATATGTATTTAACAACGATTGCAAGAGAGGGATAAAAAACTGCATTACTTCAGACCTTGAAATTTAATAATGGGTAGATATACAGGTATTCGTATGATAAAACTACAGTAAAAATCCCCCTGACAAAAAAAGGTAAGTTATTTCATTTTCAGGTAACAATTTTTGCAGTTCGTTTCTCCACAAAGGCTCGTACTTTCAAAAAAAAAAAAAAAAAAAAAAAATTGCACACAACCGTTTGCGGAGCCCATGCAAAGAAAACAGTAAAACTAAGTAGTAAAATATTCCACTCGTCTGCCATCTCCAGTCATCATAATACCAAGCTTGACCCCTCTCGCAAATGAGCTCCAATTTCAGTCGAGATAATACATACATACCGCGCTAAATCAACTAATTTCCATAAAAACAGCCTCGTACGAAAAAACTTTTTTTTTTTAGAAAGCTCCCATGTACTTATAGTACATACACGTAGCTCTTGTGGTGACCGTACTATCCACAGAATCTTATATGCACATTCTCTCCTCGGCCATGATTTTTTATGCGCAGACTAAAAGAAGCTGTGGGTTGGCGTGTTGCACACACACACAGACACATACGTAGAGGTGGTGATCGCTCGACTCAATATGTATAATGGAATCAAAGACAGAGACGTGCGTCATGGGGAAACTAAACGATAATGGACGGATGTTGATTCGTATGATTCGGTACCTAATATACACAGCATGTGCCGTTCATTTTTAAGTTTATTGCGCAATGGCATGTATCTAAACTGTATTTTTGTATTGGGTATTCGACTAGTGTTTCATAGTTTTAGAGTTACTTGACTGTAACCACGAGGTAAAAAACCTGAGAACTGTTGTTTATTTTTCCATGTGTGTTGTAGTTAATTTTAAGTGCATATTTTTTGTTATAAATATAATAGTCTGATAAAGCTAGCACATCTAGGGGGGGGGGTGGCTCACAATGTTGCCTATAAAAGTTAGATTATCCAAAATCACTTGTAAGTATTAAGTGCAGATAATATATAGAGATTACATGCGCCCATCTGTATGGTAATTAGTACAATTTTTATTCAGTTTTGTATGGCACATTGACATTATTTTTTTTCAGGAGTTTGATTCATTATTTGTATACCAGTACAGTTAACATCTGTTTATGTTATTATAGTGTCTCCAAAGTCGGGACGTGCTACATGAAACATCATATCCAAACAACTCACATAAATTGTAATTTTCTCACCGTTTGCTTAAGCAATTGACTTTTTGCGTTGTAGTGTATCAACCATACCTTTAACCATCAAATAACACGGAAATAACAATATGTTGTCGTATTTCTATGTTTCAAAAAAAAAATTGATAAAACTTGTGGTTTCTGATATTTGCGTCTTTCATCTTATCCGTTCCAACCAGGTAGACGCCATTGCTACATGTGAACGCTCAGGTAGTGGTAAAAACAATAAAAAGGGACTCTGATTATCAGCGTTGGCGATTTGGTCAAACTTTTGGAAGTATTGACGAAATTCGTTATTGTTACCGAAATGTCACATTTTTGTCTTACTTTTATGAGTAAAATACAAAATTCGCTACAGGATCATCGTTCCTTATCGCATCTCATTTACAATCACAATAAACATGGATACGAGTAAATTTTCCATCGGAGCCAAAGCTCGACGATCCAAGTGATCCGTATATTCGATCGTCTCTCAAGGTACACGCAACATTTTGATGTCGTACATGCATTATTAATGTAAAGCGACTCGCATCATCTCGACACGAGCATTATGTACGAAATGCGATGCATGAAAAAAAAAAAAGAAAAAAAATCCCAGCCAGAAAAGGCTGAGTGTATCTCACGTATATTATAGGCATTAAAAAAGCATCGCGTTCCTCCCGGGTAACGACGGGCCGTCAGATGCAGCCTCCGTCTCCCGTCACATTAAAATCTGATACCGAAGGGCCTACATGTACATAAAAACTATCCAGTGCAGCTTGCGCGCATATGGAGACCGGCGGCGCAAAAATTTAATAGCTCCTTAAAAATCGATAGCTACACCCAACAAACCGGCGCGTCCATTATCATTCCTAGCCCATCGCACGCGCTCGCTCATTGCGATAACATATAGTTTTATCCCACAGTATACCTTCTCGTGTCTCCCCTTCTTTGATACTCTCTTGCTTCTATATCGATCATTGGCTACGCGTAAGGGTCCCCTTTTTCCGATGGGCGTGTTCTCAATGTCCCCTCCACCGTGGCATACGTGGTGGAGTGGCCCCGTTGCTTTTTCGTGCTCCAAGGGGACCAGCTGCGAATCAGGAGCGAATACGGCCCTTTGCTCCGTTGCATAAGTGTCTCGTATGTTTTCGATTTGATTGGCGAGACATGGTTGTTTTTTTCCCCCCTTCGGTTAGAGCGGAGGGGAAATACGTATGTACACCTAGTTGGTAATAGAGTGCGCTTTTGTTCGAGTGGTGCATGATTTTTCGGTTGTTCTGTTTTAATGGGGCTCTGAGTGTTTTTTTTTTTTTTTTTTTTTTCATGTGCATCGATGGGCTTTGTTGAAATTAGGGATGATGAGTATGGTGTTGGTAAGAATTAAAAATAAGGCTTGAGATATATATATGTCTCTCAAAGGGTGATGTTTTTTAGATATTTTCCGAAATCATTATTATGAAATGATCACTAAAAAAGCCTTAGTTTTCATTAAAGGATTCTACACTTTTTCACTGAGTGCACATTATATCCCAAACGTGGTCTAGAAGTTACAGTAACGTAAAAATATGTTTTGTTCGTGACTTAGCAAATTGTATATACTGCACAAGAAAACAATAAATGTCCAACTAATTTCATAATCAAATGTGGTCTCATAAATATCACAAAGCTGGACCATCGTATTTTTTTTACATAAAAACCATCGTATAGGTGATAAAAATTTTTTTTGAAATTGTGGAACTACAAGCTATTCCGCTGTAAAATTGTCGTAGTATAAATAGCAAACATATTTCGTCGATAACTTTTTTCACATAACTAAAAGATATTTCTTGCCTTAGCGTAACAAATTGTACATGATCTAAGTTCTATTGATTTTTTTAAAACAGTGTAGAATACACGCGAGTGCGTTTTTTACGCATATCTATGAAATCGGTTTCATTTTACTCGTATTGACATGTACTTACAATTAAGAAAAAATTTTTAACATGGGTTTCTGTGAATGTGATACACTTTTTTCGCGATTTGCGTATTAAAATTAAATCAATAGATATCACATGTATAGATATAATATTAACATGTAAATCATGAAAAAAAAGGTGTCACCCTCACTAAAACCGGTTAAAAATGAGCCCGGTTTCAAAGGTGTGTCTTAACCATTTTTTTTTTATTTAAGTGGGGGACAAGAACTGGATTTTTCGTGTGGATTTCTGCTTATACATGGATAATATTATATAAAAATGTCATAAAAGATAGTCACTAAAATTCATTTTATGAATTTTTGTTCTGTTGTTTGAAAAAATTTTGTTTAAATTTTTCTCTTTAGCATATTAACTTATTATATAACTANTTTGATTATCTGAATGTGAGGGACTTGAAGAAAATTGTCAAAATAAATTAGTGTCTTATTTGTTGTATAAGATTTCCATGATCATACTCAACAATATACCAACAAAGGGAGCAAATAAATAGATACTTGAGTACATTTTTTGATGATAATTATAATTATTATATATTATATCATGTACTTACTTGGAATAATGCATTGGATGACGTGCGTCGAGTATGAGGTCCTTACGATCAGTAAACTGAGCATAGATGGCGTACTGTAGCTAAAAGAAAAATGGCGTCACTGATACACTATTACTATAAGTGACGACAATATACGGTAATGTGGACTTACTTATGTGACAACATCTCTGTCACGTCAGGAGATCACAGACAGTTCGTTTTTGTCGATGTGACGCCATTTTTCTCTTAACTACAGTACGCCATCTATGCTGATTTTGGGGACCGTAGGGACCTGTTCTATAATTTGTTTTTTTTACTACTGCTGGAATGTGTCTGGATTTAACTTTTGTATTATAAGAGGATTTCCTCATTGCTTACCTTAATACTACCCAACAAAGTTCAGGATACCATTTACTAAACCTCAAAATAGTATCGATGAAAATAATTAATTATTAATTAAAATTAATAATTCATTATTTGACCTAAAATTATATATAATACAATGATATGAGATGTACAGAAAAATATTAAAATAAAACATGAATGCCTTTCGTCATAATTTTTAAAGTCCATGTCAGTACAATTTGAAGCTCTAATTTGTTGTAACTATGCAGTGATAAAACAAATAGTTTTTTTTCAGGAGCATAAAAGCAATTCGAAAATTGGAAGCAATTAGTTATGGTAGTACTTTAAATCATTAAAATTAGACTTTTCTCCGTAAAAGTGTGCAATATTAACAAAACGATGTTGAATGACGAGAGCATATGCCTTCATGATGCAGTTCGCTGTGGTGACATTGCGACTATTAAGGAGATTTTGCAAAGGTTACATTTTTTGAAGATAAAACTAAGGAAATTAATAACTTGGTTTCATTTCGATTTTTGCCTTTCCAGAGATCCATCCTGCGTGAATGATTATGATTTAAACTTTAATACACCGCTGCATTTGGTCTACAACCATGTCAATGCCAAATATCCTGAACAAGCTGATGACAGACTGCCAATCATGCAACTGCTCATTGATTACGGAGCAGATGTAAATATAAGAGGAGGATATTATTTCGATTCACCACTGCTTTTAGCAGTCAAAAAACAGCAGGTAACGTTTTTAAATAATAAAGCAAAAGTGACCAGAAAATTAATTGTTTGCCAGCCATGCCAGCGAAGTAGACTCCCATGGCAACTTTTCACTCAAAGCATTAGTGTACTATTTTCGATTTGTACATATTTGGTTGGGAAACAAACGATGCACTTTCGAGTTGTTAAAGAATCAAGGTATTGATGCAGAAGATTATAGCACAGGTGACTCGGACTTACATTTAGCTGTACGTAATAGTGATACGACTATGGTCCTATTACTACTCGAAAAAGGTGCGAACGTCAACGTAAAAAATGTTTTTGGGGACACACCGTTACATTTAGCAATGAGATTACGAGTACGAGGCTGGGAGAAAATTCCTTATCTACTTATTAAATCTGGTAATTTTTAAATAAATTGTTGTCAAATAAGAGTTTTTTCTGAATTTTAAGGTTATACTAGTAGTAAACTTTAAACTGATCGTATAGAAAATATTTTAAAACATTGTTTATATTGATTTCAAACAGTTGTACTTACGTTGTGTTAAAGTTTTTTTGGCATTTTTATCCTAACTTCAAAGATCTGCTAAAAAAATTAAATGTGCCTCACTGGATATTGAACAGTACATCAATTTTTTTCAACAGGTGCAGACTTACATGCTCAAAATTTTATTGATGAAACGCCACTTCGCTTGGCTAAGATTGACAGTCAAAGTTCAATTATTTGGGAATCCATACTGACAAAGATCGGAGGAGAGTGTGAACTAACACGTAGACTTTTCAAGAAATTGAGAATAAATCGGTTGCGTACACCCTATGATAAGAATGAACTGAATCTGGATGAGCTTTTAGTTTCCGTTGTATTTGGTAAGGAGGACTTAGTTGATCGTTTACTTGACAAATGTAACATTGATGAATGTTATGATGAAGCGCTGGAAATAGCTGTCATAAACGAATTCCCTAAAATTGTCAAATTGCTTTTGGAAGCTGGCCTTCGATTTAATAGGTTTGTCATTAATGCTGCGGAAGCTCTGAATTATTCTTGGTATAGAAGTTTAATACTAACTCATCAACTTTTTTTATCAGCAGGCGCATTTTTGGCAGTCTTAATATGGATAAATTAGTATTCTTCGCGTTCCATCCTACCATATTATGCTTATTCTGGGAATTAAACAACGTCATTATTAATACGTTATTTATCAGAGTCTTCACTGGAGTTATTAAATTTAGAGGCGCAAATGAACTCACGTACCAGCTAACTTTTCACTATGCAATTGAGTTACGTTCAAATCAATTGCATCCTGACTTGATCCCAGTAAAAGGACTTTTTAAATTGAGTAAGAAGTTATCAGATATCCTTGATGATTGCAACACTAAACTGGATGAACTGAAGGAAGTTAAAGTGGGTGACTTGTCTCTCTTTGACATCATAACAATGCAATTGAATTCATTGGTCAAATTATTGAGTAGTGATGATCAACTGGAAGCTTGCAAAAAGTTTTGCTCGTCACTTGAAAATAATAATTATATGAATTACTATGAATGCGCGATAAAAGTTCGCATTGACTTAGCCATTGAAAAGAAACAGACAATGGATTCCGCCAAAGATCGTCTCAATGAAGCTATTCAAAGTTTTCTTACGCCGATAAATTTAGTTAGTCTACCAGATAATATGGTATGGAAGATTTTTGATTATCTGAATGTGAGGGACTTGAAGAAAATTGTCAAAATAAATTAGTGTCTTATTTGTTGTATAAGATTTCCATGATCATACTCAACAATATACCAACAAAGGGAGCAAATAAATAGATACTTGAGTACATTTTTTGATGATAATTATAATTATTTTGCATTCATAGTTTTTTAGTTATGATAGTACACGTAAAGAAGGATGTGTTCTGTTTTATTTTCAAATGTACTGCGTACCAGAAGTAATAATGGCTATGTTTACAATTATTTTTTTATGTATTTGATTGCTTATTTTGTATTTACTGGTCAATGGTCTAATGGATAATCAAGACAAATACGTCTTCAAACTATTCATTGTAATAGTTACGTAGACTTCTGGTAGGTACATCACTGGTAATCTGATATGTTTTTCATTAACCCTTCCAGTTACCAATATCAAAAGTTTTATTTCGTAGATTTTTAGATTCCGATACATTTTTTTGTAAGTTTTAGTGTTAAAATAAACATTTTCTAGACATTCAGGATTCATTTAAAATTGTAGGAAAAAAATCTCATGAACATATTACACCAACAATTATTAGTCCCACAAATTCATACTAATATTTCCGACACATAAACATTATTGGCATATTTTGTTCTCTTGCATTATTATGAATTATTCAGGTCGTTATTATTGATGGCACGAGATAAAAAATAAATTTTTTTTACTCAAGTGCAATTTTATATTTACATATAGAACACTGCTTGAAGTCTGGAGTTGTTGCAAGCTTTAACGAGTAAAACAATGGTAGTAGAAATTAAAATACAAAAACAGTTGGCAATAATCGTAAGTGACGCCATCCATTGTAAGTGCGTTGGACGCAGATGGGCACAGATCCACTAAAATACATGTAGTCTTTTTATTGTTTTGAGTTAAAAATTTGCGTATACAACCCCCTTGAAAAACAAAGTTATTTATGTCTTGGTATGTAATTACCAAATTGTTTAAGTTATGTAATGAATTTATTGTGAGAATGCTGTACAATTGGCATATTTATGGTTTTTTGATAAAGTTCTCCATCAGTGGTTCGATCGGATACATCCCAAATCATTTGGTCAAAGTTTTTTTTAAGACACAAATTTCCTTGCATTCGAAATAACATACATTTATTGGGTCAACTTGACATCCTGTGGCTTTTTATCTGAAAAAAGTAAACAACTCGGTGAAATCTTAACAATTAGAATCAATATTTTAAATGAAACATTATTATTTCTTAATTATTGAAGTGGGCAGACATGGTGACATTTGCCATTGTAGTTTAACTTTAATATTTTTTCATAAGTTAAGCAACGTACCCGAGATACATGACACAACGGTATACAGTTATTCTGCAAAATTGGAACGAAATGAAAACTTTTTTGTACCATAAACAACATGCGATCGATATAATCATAAGCAATGCTTAATGGTTGCCCGCATCATTTCAGCGCACCTAAACAAACCTAGACACATTCGTTGCTAGACAAACTGAAACCCTTTTTCTCTCCCTCGAGCGAAAACCTTCAAATAATCCCAACTTTATAATCCTCATTGATGACGGGGCCAGTGTTCACTCTTTGATCGCATGTGTGCGCGCTTACTCTTCGTAACAATAGCCGCGCATCATCATCGATTCTCACAAGACATCATCGCCTATAATTGGACGACCAAGTGCAATCCACGCGTGAGATATGTTACCCCGTGTGTGTGTGTGTGTGTGTATCGACGTGCTACACGTTTCTTTTCTCTTCGGCAGGGCCCACGTACATAAAGAAGAAGGAGAAAAGGTGGAGGAAGCAGAAAGGGAGTGAAGAAAAAAAATGAGAGATGCTTGGTGGGGCTGAAAAAGAGGAGCTCGCGTTTGATACGTGCGGCGCAAGTGGCTGCGCGCGGCTCGATCGAAGTTGACAGAGAAGAATCGGGTGAGCCGTGGAAAGAGGGAGAGAGCCCTTTGTCGCCAACCTTGGATCTCCTGACCTCGTTTCTTCTCTGCGCTAGTTTGATACGGAAGATAACCGCGGGACGGGTATATAGGGCAGCTCCTTTGTCAATCAAAACGGGTCTGGTGGTTTTTGCGGTTAGTAATTTTTGGTTTGGTGAAACTAGAGGACAGGGAAATATCAACGGACTAGTGGATTCGATGTTGTAGAGTGGTTTTGCAGGTATATTTAAATTACCGATATGAAAAACAAACATTTGGAGTGTGGGCTCGAAAAACCTTTTTTGTGACAATGCCTCGTTGCTCTTCGCTTCTTTACTATGATATTTCTGTCCAATGGATATTATCAAGGTAGTTTATATTTGTGTTTGATTGCTGTACCGTATGACGTGTTTTTTTTTTTTTTTTTTTTTTTCTCGAAAAACTGATGGTTTGATAAGGTTACCAAAAACAGTGAAACATCGATACGGTAAAAAATTTATCGTGCCCTTACTTCAAATTGTTATTTAATACTAATAATTGAAAAATACCTTATAAAAACTAATAGTGGTATCGATAATAATATTTTCGTTGAGAACTAGATATTTCTTAACTATTACCAATAACGTGAATTAGATGATTGAGAAATACGTACTTTTGATAATTTTAATGATTGTAAAAATTGTGCTGAATAGTTTCATTTAAGGGATAGGTATGCAAGTTTCGGAAGATGAATTTTGATGAAAATTTAAAGATGGTTATCATGAGTCCACAAAAATTACTTTTAGAACTATTTCGTATGCATGTTTAACTTAATTTTTGTAATAATATATCGATGTGGTTGACTCTGTTTATAGCAGAGCCAGAAGAAAAAAATAATAGGCTACGAGTAGTTTTGGTCACAGTAAATTTTTTTTACTGCTTCAACATGATAACTAAAATTGAATGAGAAAATGCATCAAACTTGCTATGCCTTGAGCAACTGTAATCTATCAAATTTTTCAAATTTACACATTTTTTGTAACACCAATGTATACGCGAAATTTGATTTATCACGTACTAGGCAAAGTACTGACTTTGCACTCGGAGCATGTACTTTGTGACACTCGCTTCAATCATAACAACAACAACAATATTGGTACATTTATCGGAGGAAAATTTCAAAACTTTCACCAAAAGCAGCGACGCGCTAAATTCAACAGCTACTGCTCGCGAGAAACCAGCCAAATGAAAAAAGTAAACGTCGCCTCCACGACACACAAGTGTATACAAATAAAGCTCCAGGATGGCCGTACAAAGGCTCGTATCGTACGTAAACTCCGGGAGTGTAAATCGGGACAAGTTGCGAATGTAAGCAGGGAAAAGCGCGTTCCACGTAATCCTTCGAATAAAGAGGCCAGCTTGTACACCAGGAGAGGTAAACAAAAGCCCAGAGCTAGCGTCCTGTGTTTCATAAAGTTCTGCCTTTACATTTTCTCTTTCTCTCTGGAATTCGGTGCGCGCGCGCATTGGGTTACTTCCCTCATGATTGCTCGAATGGCTTTTTCGTTGTTTGTTTTCATTTTGTTCGTCCCTTGCATCAATTTGTGCTGAAAAATTCGTGCCAGCTATTTTCTACGCAACGTTGGCGTTGCGTATCCAGTGGAAAACAATATCATGGACATTATACTATTTTCAAAGTGCATTAATTAGATTACAAATATATTTACTTTTTTCGGAAAATTAGAAATAATAAGAACGCCAATGGATTTAACGCAATTTTATTTGTTGTTGCCAAGTTTCTTCAAGTATCTTGACTTTTCAGGCTACAAATAATGGAAAAAGTATCAAATATTATAGCTATCGAATAAAATCTAACATCATTTTTACAGTAATAAACACATGAAAATAGACAGGACTTGTGTAAATCGCAGAGGCAAATACAGCAAAGATAGGTCTAACAATTTGTATTTTACTGAAGACAGAAAAAAAAAAAAAAACTCCAAAGCAACAGTAGCTATGCATGTATTAGAATGTAATCATCAGCTTGATTTTCAATACCTAAATTTTACACAGAAAATAATGGACAAGAAGACCAATAGCAGAAATGTTTATGTTTATTATAAATTGTAGCTAAACAAAGGATAAATAGAAAAAACGATACGCTGGGACTTATCAATACTTAAAAATAGTTTATTTTCGTATATGTGTGTGATTGTACGTAGAGTTAGCTAATATTTAAGTTTGAATCTTTTCTAAATATCCTTTGAATGCATAATTATAAGTAGCGTGAGTGCTCCTTCTTTATTGGGTCTGTCTATATTTGTATGTTTAATACTGTACAAGTGGCGTAAAATTTTATAACATAACGAAAGTTTAATATTTTTTTTCTTTTCTGTAGCCCGATAAAGTCAAGACTTGTACTTGAAGAAACTTTGCAAAAACAAATAAAATCACGTTAACCTTATTGGAGTTTTTATATTTTTTCTATCCAAGCAAAAGTTGTCTCATCGTTTTATTATTTATGAAAACAAGTAACAAATAAATACTGATAATAAAAATTTATCTTCTAAACAGATATTATCAGTTTAAAAAAATTTTTTTTATTGTTTTTGTGAAAGTTAGAATGAAAAATATGGTTTTATTACATCATTTAATAATAACAGCACATTATTATTTTGAATAATTAGTAATAATTGAAAGCCATTATTATCAGTTCCTTAAAAACTTTATTATTCATAATACACATATTAAGCTTCAAGTTTTAATTAATTATAATTTGTAAGAGTTAATATTAGTTTTTGTTGTTTTTTTCTGTACTTTATAAAATGTTATTTCTGACAAAAAAAAAAAAAAAAAA